GGGGGGGGGAGGATCCCAAGTTTAGACAAGTCTTAAAACCGGGGGTGAAGGTCAGTGGACGTTTCTAACAATCCCAGGTTTAGGTGGAGGTGGGTAGGCGGTATTAGACTTTATATTGGAGTTTGTCTTTTAAACCATAGGCTTTTTAAACCATGGTTTTTAAAAGTATTTCGCAGTTAAAAGAGCTGATTGTGTTTCAGTTGTTACTTTCTACGGAACAGCATTGTAAGGAAAGAGGATGTTCAGTACTTTAATGGTGGTGGTCAAGAGCTGAAACTTAAGCCTGTTTGTTCCCCATCTCCACCAATTAATAGCTCCTTCTCTCCCAAGATAAAGAATTTGGTTTATTAGTTTGGTTTTTATTATTAAGTACTGATTGACGAACAGCTCCCCATTCAGGAAGTAAGTAATAGCGTCGTGAGTTATATGAAGGTATAGCTAATTACTTTCTTCTATTTGAGAATCCGATTGTTTAAAAATCTACTTGTCATACTCACAATGAATGAGTGATTTTCTTATTTTCCAAATTTTCTAAATGAGTGTATAGAATGTTTGTGGATGGTGGAATACTACTTTTATGCAGTCTGATAAAGTAATAAAAAAAATGCACTGCTCTAGGAAATTCTTCACTTTTTCTTTCCCCTAGAGAATCAGAAACTATGACTGGCAGCACTTGAAATAAAAAGATCACATGCAATGACAAAGCTCAGAGTTTGTTGCAGAAAAGATTTCTATCTTAGGACTTGAAGGCAAAAGGCTCTACAATATCAACTGAATTTCCTGTTCTTTGTTACTTGATGCTTCATGTTTAGAAAGGATTTTTTTGTGTTTAATAGAATCAGTAACCTTGTGTTACTCTTTGTACAGTTTTGAGGGGAGGGATGTTCGATACAAACAAGTTCAAGTTGAAAAAAGTATCAAAATCTTTTGCCCCCCTGGGAGAACTTGCTTCTAACTTGTTCACACAATTATTTCTTGGACTTAAATTACTGGCCACTGAAAAACCTGAAGTTTTAATGACAGATTGTCAAATGAGAATAATGAAACATTTGAGAACAGTTATTTAAGAAATAGAGTTGTAAATGTTTCTCAGGAAAAAGATAATTTTGTAACTTAAAAAAGTGTTGTTTAACAGAAGCATTGGTTGAGAATCCTGTGTATGGTAAAAATTAAGGAATTGAAAAGGATCTGGTAGAATGAATCTTTTTTCATAAATTCAGACTGATATGAAAGTAGAGTGGTGGGCCTAGAGCTTATTGATCTCACCCAGCAACCTCATTTTACAGATAAATTGAGGTACAGGGAAGTTATGTAACTTAGGAGCACTCATGAAGACAGTAACACTATCTTTGAACTTATAATCTTTATTTTTTTATACTCCCAATCAAATTGAAGAACAAATTGAACGTTCTTCAATTCAATGTCTGTGTCACTACTGATAAAAATAAAGTTATTCTGAAATACTTTAATCCTGAATTCTTTATATTGCTCTTTGTAACTTAAAGACTTAACATAACTTGATTCATCCCATCTGCTATTCTGCTGTGTGTACAATATCCAATTGAGTTTTTTGACATTTAAATTACTATACCTAGAACTTTTATAACCTCCATCAGTTAGTTTTGTTGTACCTAGCTATCTCCCTGGCACTGAAGTCCTGACATATAGTGGGTTTATGTGGTTAGTTTCAGGAAAAAGGGGGGAGGGGGAAGAGAAATTTGGAACTATTCATCCAGATTGCAGGTCTGAGTTCTAAAGAAAAGAGAAGGAGACCCAAAAAGCAGTCCTGAGTCAGAAAAATCTCTCCCTCCCCACAACTGTAACAGAGTTAATGATGGCTTTGTCTTCATATAACAAACCTGTCACTACAGAGAAAATATGGTAGAAGTGATTTGGAGATATTACAGGTCCCCTCCACTTTCACTTCTGTTAACCTGTTTGCATGTTCACAAATATTTCATACTGCTATTTTGTATCTTTGCATATGAATTTGCAACTTAAAAACTAAGACTTTTCTTTCTGGTTTAACTTAACTAAGGTTATTTTTTACTAACTAGAGTTTAAAAATGATCAGAAATCATGTAAACTAGAGCTAATGGTTTACTCTGAATGTATTTTTTCTCAAAAATGTGAATTATTGGCAAAGTAGAAATAGTCATCTCTTTCATTATTGTTGATGTTTTCAAATAAAATGTTATTTGTTTAGGCAGTATTATGAGCATTTTAACCAAAATTTCAATTTAATTTTAGATTTTGATTTGCACCATCCAATATATAGGTACTTGAGTGCAAAGAAAGGCAGGCCACCCTAGTGTCCTCATTCTGTAGCATTGTGTTCATCCATTGGGCCAAAAAGTTCTTTCTACTCATGAGAGTTGATGAGCTAGTTTATCTTATATTAGTTGCGTCTAGCATTCTCAAAACAAGCAAAAACATTTTAAAATGTTAGGGAAATACTTAGAAGTTCACATTAAAAGGGAACAACAAGGGGAGGAACATTGTAAGACTTCGATGTCATCCTTAGGTGGTAGGGAAATGGTGACAGGGAGGACGTTCATTTGAGATCTCCTGTATGTCATGCTCACAGGGTACTCTTCTACGACCTCTTCATTTCTGTTTCTAGAACTCTGATAGATGACACAAATTATATTCATTAAAGAGGGCCTACAATATGGATAATTGTAAGTTTTCAGTACATAAAAAAGAAAGTACTAGGGGCTGGGAAGATGGCTCAGTGGTAGAGTGCTTGCCTTGCATGCCTGAGGCCCTGGGTTCGATTCCTTAGCACCACATAAGCAAAAAAGAAAAAAGCCGGAGGTGGCGCTGTGACTCAAGTGGTAGAGTGCTAGCCTTGAACTGAAGAGCTGAGGGACAGCGCCCAGGCCCAGAGTTCAGGCCCCACTACCGGACCCAAAAAA